CGAAAAGCTGCATGGAAATGAGGCGCTTATTCTTGCAAAGCATTGTGGTCTATGAGAACGCTGGGCCGATCGTGACATTTCATTTTGAAAATGAAAACGAAAATGTTTCTTTTGACAACTTTCAATGTGATTTTCAGAAACAAAAAGAAACAATTCTATTTGAAACTTGGAAATGGAAATGTTTCTTTAATTTTTTTATTATGTTTATTCTGTTTTTTGACATGCTATTTTAAGCTTCAAGAAAATAATTTGAATTTAATGTCAAATTTACCACAAATATCTGTGATTTTTTTATATTTCATAAAATATGTTTCTGTTTTTTGAATGAGAATGCTGGGCCACCATACTTGATAGGTCATTTTAACATTCGGAGACGTTTAAGGGTGTTCTTGATTTTGGTACCTTTGGGTCTTAAAATAAGACCCTTTCTACCAATTTTATGCAATAAATTTAAAGTCTTTTTCAAATAGCGTCAAAAGACCATTTTAGGTTATGAATTGAACGCTAGAATTGCCTTGATAGGTCATTTTAACATTCGGAGACGTTTAAGGGTGTTCTTGATTTTGGTACTTTGGGTCTTAAAATAAGACCCTTTCTACCAATTTTATGCAATAAAGTTTAAAATCTTTTTCAAATAGCGTCAAAAGACCATTTTAGGTTATGAATTGAACGCTAGAATTGCCTTGATAGGTCATTTTAACATTCGGAGACGTTTAAGGGTGTTTTTGATTTTGGTACCTTTGGGTCTTAAAATAAGACCCTTTCTACCAATTTTATGCAATAAATTTAAAGTCTTTTTCAAATAGCGTCAAATGACCATTTTAGGTTATGAATTGAACGCTAGAATTGCCTTGATAGGTCATTTTAACATTCGGAGACGTTTAAGGGTGTTCTTGATTTTGGTACCTTTGGGTCTTAAAATAAGACCCTTTCTACCAATTTTATGCAATAAATTTAAAGTCTTTTTCAAATAGCGTCAAATGACCATTTTAGGTTATGAATTGAACGCTAGAATTGCCTTGATAGGTCATTTTAACATTCGGAGACGTTTAAGGGTGTTCTTGATTTTGGTACCTTTGGGTCTTAAAATAAGACCCTTTCTACCAATTTTATGCAATAAATTTAAAGTCTTTTTCAAATAGCGTCAAAAGACCATTTTAGGTTATGAATTGCACGCTAGAATTGCCTTTATAGGTCATTTTAACATTCGGAGACGTTTAAGGGTGTTCTTGATTTTGGTACCTTTGGGTCTTAAAATAAGACCCTTTCCTACCAATTTTATGCAATAAATTTAAAGTCTTTTTCAAATAGCGTCAAATGACCATTGAAGCTAGAATTGCCTTGATGGGTCATTTAACATTCGGAGACGTTTAAGGGTGTTCTTGATTTTGGTACTTTGGGTCTTAAAATAAAACCCTTTCTACCAATTTTATGCAATAAATTTAAAATTTTTTCAAATAGCGTCAAAAGACCATTTTAGTAATGAATTGCGCTAGAATTGCCTTGATAGGTCATTTTAACATTCGGAGACGTTTAAGGGTGTTCTTGATTTTGGTACATTTGGGTCTTAAAAATAAGACCCTTTCTACCAATTTTATGCAATAAATTTAAAGTCTTTTTCAAATAGCGTCAAAAGACCATTTTAGGTAATGAATTGCTGGCTAGAATTGCCTTGATAGGTCATTTTAACATTCGGAGACGTTTAAGGGTGTTCTTGATTTTGGTACCTTTGGGTCTTAAAATAAGACCCTTTCTACCAATTTTATGCAATAAATTTAAAGTCTTTTTCAAATAGCGTCAAAAGACCATTTTAGGTAATGAATTGCAGGCTAGAATTGCCTTGATAGGTCATTTTAACATTCTTAGACGTTAAGGTGTTTTTGATTTTGTTACCTTTGGGTCTTAAAATAAGACCCTTTCTACCAATTTTATGCAATAAATTTAAAGTCTTTTTCAAATAGCGTCAAAAGACCATTTTAGGTTATGAATTGAACGCTAGAATTGCCTTGATAGGTCATTTTAACATTCGGAGACGTTTAAGGGTGTTCTTGATTTTGGTACCTTTGGGTCTTAAAATAAGACCCTTTCCTACCAATTTTATGCAATAAATTTAAAGTCTTTTTCAAATAGCGTCAAATGACCATTTTAGGTTATGAATTGAACGCTAGAATTGCCTTGATAGGTCATTTTAACATTCGGAGACGTTTAAGGGTGTTCTTGATTTTGGTACCTTTGGGTCTTAAAATAAGACCCTTTCCTACCAATTTTATGCAATAAATTTAAAGTCTTTTTCAAATAGCGTCAAATGACCATTTTAGGTTATGAATTGAACGCTAGAATTGCCTTGATAGGTCATTTTAACATTCGGAGACGTTTAAGGGTGTTCTTGATTTTGGTACCTTTGGGTCTTAAAATAAGACCCTTTCTACCAATTTTATGCAATAAATTTAAAATCTTTTTCAAATAGCGTCAAAAGACCATTTTAGGTAATGAATTGCTGGCTAGAATTGCCTTGATAGGTCATTTTAACTTTCGGAGACGTTTAAGGGTGTTCTTGATTTTGGTACCTTTGGGTCTTAAAATAAGACCCTTTCTACCAATTTTATGCAATAAATTTAAAGTCTTTTTCAAATAGCGTCAAAAGACCATTTTAGGTTATGAATTGAACGCTAGAATTGCCTTGATAGGTCATTTTAACATTCGGAGACGTTTAAGGGTGTTCTTGATTTTGGTACCTTTGGGTCTTAAAATAAGACCCTTTCTACCAATTTTATGCAATAAATTTAAAGTCTTTTTCAAATAGCGTCAAATGACCGTTTTAAGTAATGAATTACACGCTAGAGTTGCCTCGGTACGTCATTTTAACTTTCGGAGACGTTTAAAGGTGTTCTTGATTTTGGTACCTTTGGGTCTTAAAATAAGACCCTTTGCCACCAATTTTATGCAATAAATTTAAAGTCTTTTTCAAATAGCGTCAAAAGACCATTTTAGGATATGAATTGCACGCCAGAATTGCCTTGATAGGTCATTTTGACATTCGGAGACGTTTAAGGGTGTTCTTGATTTTGGTACTTTTGGGTCTTAAAATAAGGCCCTTTCTTACCAATTTTATGCAATAAATTTAAAGTCTTTTTCAAATAGCGTCAAATGACCATTTTAGGTTATGAATTGAACGCTAGAATTGCCTTGATAGGTCATTTTAACATTCGGAGACGTTTAAGGGTGTTCTTGATTTTGGTACCTTTATGTCTTAAAATAAGACCCTTTCCTACCAATTTTATGCAATAAAATTATAGTCTTTTTCAATTAGCGTCAAAAGACTATTTTAGGTAATGAATTGCTGGCTAGAATTACCTTGATAGGTCATTTTAACATTCGGAGACGTTTAAGGGTGTTCTTGATTTTGGTACCTTTGGGTCTTAAAATCAGACCTTTTTTTACCAGTTTTGTGCAATAAATTTAAGGTCTTTTTCAAAAAGCGTTAAAAGACCATTTTAGGTTATGAATTGCACGTTAGAATTGCCTTGATAGGTCAATTTAACATTCGGAGACGTTCAAGGTGTTCTTGATTTTGGTACCTTTGGGTCTTCAAATAAGACCCTTTGCTACCAATTTTATGCAATAAATTTAAAGTCTTTTTCAAATAGCGTCAAAAGACCGTTTGCGGTAATGAATTGCACGCTAGAATTGCCTCGGTACGTCATTTTAACTTTCGGAGACGTTTAAGGGTGTTCTTGATTTTGGTACATTTGGGTCTTAAAATAAGACCCTTTGCTACCAATTTTATGCAATAAATTTAAACTCTTTTTCAAATAGCGTCAAATGACCGTTTTAAGTAATGGATTACAGGCTAGAGTTGCCTCGGTACGTCATTTTAACTTTCGGAGACGTTTAAGGGTGTTCTTGATTTTGGTACATTTGGGTCTAAAAATAAGACCCTTTGCTACCAATTTTATGCAATAAATTTAAAGTCTTTTTCAAATAGCGTCAAATGACCGTTTTAAGTAATGAATTACACGCTAGAATTGCCTCGGTACGTTATTTTAACATTCGGAGACGTTGAAGTGTGTTCTTGATTTTGTTGCCTTTGGGACTTAAAATAAGACCCTTTGCTACCAATTTTATGCAATAAATTTAAATTCTTTTTCAAATAGCGTCAAATGACCGTTTTATGTAATGAATTGCAAGCTAGAATTGCCTTGATAGGTCAATTTAACATTCGGAGACGTTTAAGGGTGTTCTTGATTTTGGTACCTTTGGGTCTTAAAATAAGACCATTTGCTACCAATTTTATGAAATGAATTTAAAGTTTTTTCAAATAGTGTCAAAAGACCGTTTTAGGTAATGAATTGCACGCTAGAATTGCCTCGGTACATCATGGTGGATGGACCCCATTTTCTTTTGTGACCAAAATTATTAAAACTGAATAAAATTTATTAAAACCCATTCAGTTTTCTCTTAAAGTTTTCATTCGGTTTGTTACTTCTTTCCTTTTGACTATAATTTCTTCAACCTTTTTGCAAATTGTTTATATGTTTTGCGCAATTTACGTACAACTTCACCATAAGCCAAGCTATGATACACTCTCTTATACAAAAAAGACAAAAAAGCCTTTTATCTTGCAGGACTGAATAAATTGTGAATCCGAGTCTGTGTCACCATCACTGCTATCTTTAAAACATTTTGATCATCTTGATGGTTGGAATTTTTTTTCTTATTCTTAAAGAATGTCTCGTCATGTTTTATGCAAATAATAGCTTTGGAAATTATCAGGCAAATAACGTCAGAGAAAGAACTTGTGATTAAAATTCAAAAACTATGCATTTAATAGAAGACATTGTTTTCAATTGGATTCTGTTCTGATTTGTTACAAATAGTCTTGTTAATTTTTAGATAGTCTTCATTCGGTATTAAGTTAATAATGGTGTCAATTTACATTTCAAAGGTTCTAGTTTGTTTTCACACTTTCAAAGGTTATTCAAGAACAAAGGGATGTTTTTACCTGTTTGTAAAGCTTCAATATGGGGGTCAAGCCTGAAACTTTGCCCTAGACCTCAAAAAAACATCTGAGATACATTGTCTCGTGACATTATGTGAAGTTTTCCCGAATTTTGTTCAGAATTCTAAGAGATTTTCGTTTACAAACGCTAGTTTTAGCACAAAATTAATATAGTTTAATTATAGTTTAAAATTAAAAACGAGATTTTTCTAGCGTTTGAAAATTTTGATAGGAAATATTTCCGGCTTAAAAAAATTCGGTGGGATTAATTTTCACTTGCCCTCAAACCACTCGATTTGTTTCAATATTCATATTTTTCTCCTACGGAGGAGACTTTCCTTCCCATCATGCCCAGCAAGGCATGTGCCAACAAAATTTTTCACTTTGAAAACAACATGGCTTCCAAGAAAATTATTATCGACAACTGGTGTACTTATCCCAGTGGAAATATCCTACACAATCACCTTCGCGGCAACTGAAGATAACCAATAATTTTATGAAGGTAAGAAGTATCAAATTACTGCAATTTTTTACTTTGTTGATTTATAAACCTAATTTCTTTTGCCTTCTCTTCTTCTGTGCAAAATTGGAGTTAATAGTCTTTCCTACTGTGTATTGAACAAGCAACTTTCGAACTTTACTGTCTCGCTTAAACATATTTGTGCTGCTTTATTTTTTTTGTGTTTTTCCAACTGAATAGTCCTTTCGTTGTTTGTAACCCACCAAAGGTAAATGGCCAAGAAGGAAGTAACTAATAATATATGTTTAGGAAAGGGTAATGCTTAGTTTACATCTATATGATTGCTTGTGATGAAACAACTGCTTAGTTTAGCTTGCGATTAATTATAGAACATTATTACAGGACAACATTTTAATTCTCCCAACTCAACAACAGTCAATTGCGAATAAATTATCAAAGTAGGACCAGAAAAGCACGAAGAAAAGGGTGCCACCAAGGACAAATTTCCGGTTCTTATTCCACTTTTTCAGGGTCCTTATTAAAAAAGACTACCTTTTTAGGGTAATTTTTTAAAATTTTAGCTTCTGCCGTCTTTGACCCAGACTAGATTACTCTGCTAGGCCTTTATGGGAGTCCCCACGAGGCTCAGGCTGAGGTTCAAACCATCAGCCCAAACAATATAATTTCTAGCATGAAATCTTTCCAAATTTTTTTTTAGACGGCAGTTTGCGATTTTTCTCGACTTTTCAAATCCTTTCTCATTTTGATTTCCAAAGAAATTGCTTTAGAATTTCGTGGTCCCAAGAAGAGGGTTTCACAATTGTATTTGTTTTTCGTTTAATTTTCTAAGACCACTGCTCACCGGAAATTAAAGAAAATTTTTTTCGTAAAGAAATTATTTGTCCAATATAGAATCACGGTTTTTTATATTGAAGAACTTTAATAAACTTTGTCCAAATTCTAGAGCCTAAAAGTAACCTAGGCACCCCTATTCTAAAGATAAATGATTACCCCCCCCCCTTCCCCTTTGGTGAGAGAGGCCCAGAAAATTTTTAGAATGAAAACCTTTTTGCTGGACACCAACAAAAGTTCCTTGCTTGGTAGCTCTTTCAATAAAAATTTCTAAAAAGTAATTTTTTAATCTCTGGCAAAAATGTAAAAATGTAGCCACCTAACAATTCCTAAAATGCATTCAGCACCAAACAATGAGTTAGCTTGTTCTAGGCTTTGGCATATTGAACCTTCCAAAAACCATTTGCTTTTTTCTTTTATTTCTACCTATTTATGTTGAATGAGCTTAACATTTAACTCGCGAGCTAAACTTTTAGCGTCCCTCCTCCTGGCCCTGGAATAATGTCCACCCTGCTATGTGGTATTGACTTGACTGTAATCCCATCATCTTTGCAAAATCTTTGTTTTTCAGCATGCTATGTAGTCCTTAAGAATTCGGTTTCAGATAGCCCCCAAAATTAATACCTATGGAAAATGGAATACATGATGGAATTCTATGTTCTCATCTGCATGCATCATTATGATCATGAATGTCTTTGACGATTAATCTGTCTATCATCTCGGCAAATCAATGGTTAACATTAATTCATTAATACTATTGGTTATTGGTGTCAATATATAATTTTCTTAAATATAGAAAAACATTTAAAACTATTGACAATGCGATTCTTCTGTGAAAATTGAAAGCAGTAGGCATCTGAGAAAAAAGAATCCCTCAAGTACACTGTCTGAACTCCATCGTGTTCCTAGTTTTTTAAAAACATAACCAGGAATTCAAATCCGAGTATTTTGTGCTCCACCTTTCTTGGTGTTCGTGATTTCCGTTGTAAAGGGACTACAGTTGGCAGAAAAAGAAAAAGAGTCACAACGCGCATTGGAGAATACCGTTTTACATAAAAACCCCAGCCCAGATATCAGAATCATTTTTCGTTGATAAAACTCTAAAAACATGAATTCCGTTGCAGATCAAAACACATGGCTACGGAAGATTGTGTATGAATGACGAGGGACGTGGTGAGTGTTATTTTGATGCTTTTTGAAAAATGGTAGAAAATAAACTGGTATTGCTTTGTCTTTCTTATCTAAATATTTGAGAGACCTTTCAAGTATTACATTTCAGAAAGCTATTTGCATCACGAACCAACCTTTGTTATAAGCTTCCAAACTGTGGTGTCTTTCTAACGTTTTAACGTCAAACGAGTGTCTTCTATAGGACCCTTTTCTACGTTCGCTGATTTAATTTTTCATTTATTCGCTTGTTGCGATATTGATCTTCATTATGATGATCATTAATCTCGCATAAGATCAAACAAACTTTCTGATTTTCCAAATTGTCTATTCGTAATTATAGAGCAAAATTCTACCACTTAATAGTTTGCTGTTTAATCTTTGTTTTATTCATCACTTACTCGTGCATCAGATCTAATAAACTTTTAGATTTTGCTCTTTGACACTTCGAAGAAATGTCTTGTTTATTTGTCTCTTCATACCTTCATACTTTGACTGATTGACTTTTCGGAAAAATTCCAACTTTTGATCGAAAACAATTTGTGATTTTCCATGGTGGCTCTCAACGGCATTAGAATGATGCCCATTGTCCTTTGACCATTTCAAATATTCATTTATTCTCAATGAACACTTACCTTCGATCAAATAAAATTTGTAATTTTCCATCGGGTTACTACAAGGCTAAGAGTCATACTTATTTTTTTGCCCATTATTTCTTCAACCAATTAAATCTTTACATTACAGAAATTTGTGAGATCTGTTGGTATCTCTTCGACACTTTAGACAACCCTTTGTTGTTCTGACCTTCTGCCCACTTCACTGATTTGATCTTAGATTCATTCTTTACAAACCCCTTCTTTACATTCATTCAGGTTTTTGGGATCTGCTGGTATCTCTTCGATACTTTAGACCAGCCTTTGTTGTTCTGCTTCTCTCACCTTTTCGCTCATCTATTTTCTGTTTATTCTCTAGAAACCTTTTCTTTACATTCATAAAAGTTGTGATTTTCGTTCGTCTCTCTTCGACATTTGAGACCGTCCATAGTTGTTCTTCCCCTCTACCTTTTTCGCTGATTTATTTTTTTACTTGATTCTAAAAAAATCTTTCTCAACACTCATTGAAGCTTGTGATTTTCGTTGGTGTCTCTTCGGCACTTGAGACGGTCCCTTGTTGTTCTTTCTCTCTGCCCCTTTCCCTGATATATTTTTTATTTATTCTCTAAACAATCTTTCTCATAATTCTTTGAAGTTTGTGATTTTTGTTGATGTCTCTTCGACACTTTAGACTACCCCTTGTTGTTCTTACTCTCTGTCCCTTTCCCTAAATTATTTTTTATTTATTCTCTAAACAATCTTTCTCATAATTCTTTGAAGTTTGTGATTTTCGTTGGTGTCTCTTCGGCACTTGAGACGGTCCCTTGTTGTTCTTTCTCTCTGCCCCTTTCCCTGAATTATTTTTTATTTATTCTCTAAACAATCTTTCTCATAATTCTTTTGAATTTGTGATTTTCGTTGGTGTCCCTTCGGCACTTGAGACGGTCCCTTGTTGTTTTTACTCTCTGCCCCATTCCATGATATATTTTTTATTTATTCTCTAAACAATCTTTCTCGTAAATCTTTGAAGATTGTGATTTTCGTTGGTGTCTCTTCGACACTTGAGACGGTCCCTTGTTGTTTTTACTCTCTGCCTCTTTCCCTTATTTATTTTTTATTTATTTTCTAAACAATCTTTCTCATAATTTTTTGAAGTTTGTGATTTTCGTTGGTGTCTCTTCGACACTTGAGACGGTCCCTTGTTGTTCTTTCTCTCTGCCCCTTTCCCTGATTTATTTTTTATTTATTCTCTAAACAATCTTTCTCATAATTCTTTGAAGATTGAAATTTTTGTTTTTGTCTCTTCGTCACTTTAGACTATCCCTTGTTGTTCTTACTCTCTGCCCCTTGCCCTGAATTATTTTTTATTTATTCTCTAAACAAACTTTCTTCTAATTCTTTTAAGTTTGTGATTTTCGTTGATGTCTCTTCGTCACTTTAGACTATCCCTTGTTGTTCTTTCGCACTGCCCTTTTCCCTGATATATTTTTTATTTATTCTCTAAACAATCTTTCTCATAATTCTTTGAAGATTGTGATTTTCGTTGGTGTCTCTTCGACCCTTGAGACGGTCCCTTGTTGTTTTTACTCTCTGCCTCTTTCCCTTATTTATTTTTTATTTATTTTCTAAACAATCTTTCTCATAATTTTTTGAAGTTTGTGATTTTCGTTGGTGTCTCTTCGACACTTGAGACGGTCCCTTGTTGTTCTTTCTCTCTGCCCCTTTCCCTGATTTATTTTTTATTTATTCTCTAAACAATCTTTCTCATAATTCTTTGAAGATTGTGATTTTCGTTGGTGTCTCTTCGACCCTTGAGACGGTCCCTTGTTGTTCTTACTCTCTGCCACTTTTCTGATTTATTTTTTATTTATTCTCTAAAAAATCTTTCTCATAATTCTTTGAAGTTTGTGATTTTCGTTGGTGTCTCTTCGACACTTGACACGGTCCCTTGTTGCTCTTACTCTCTGCCCCTTTTCTGATTTATTTTTTCTTTATTCTCTAAACATTCTTTCTCATAATTCTTTGGAGCTTGTGGTTTTCGTTGGTGTCTCTTCGGCACTTGAGACGGTACCTTGTTGTTCTTTCTCTCTGCCCCTTTCCCTGAATTATTTTTTATTTATTCTCTAAACAATCTTTCTCATAATTCTTTGAAGTTTGTGATTTTTGTTGATGTCTCTTCGGCACTTTAGACTATCCCTTGTTGTTCTGTCTCTCTGCCCCTTTCCCTGAATTATTTTTTATTTATTCTCTATACAATCTTTTTCATAATTCTTTGAAGTTTGTGATTTTTGTTTTTGTCTCTTCGTCATTTTAGACTATCCCTAGTTGTTCTTACTCTCTGCCCTTTGCCCTGAATTATTTTTTATTTATTCTCTAAACAAACTTTCTTCTAATTCTTTGAAGTTTGTGATTTTCGTTGGTGTCTCTTCGTCACTTTAGACTATCCCTTGTTGTTCTTTCGCTCTGCCCTTTTCCCTGATTTATTTTTTATTTATTCTCTAAAAAATCTTTCTCATAATTCTTTGAAGTTTGTGATTTTCGTTGGTGTCTCTTCGACACTTGACACGGTCCCTTGTTGTTCTTACTCTCTGCCCCTTTTCTGATATATTTTTTATTTATTCTCTAAACATTCTTTCTCATAATTCTTTGAAGATTGTGATTTTCGTTGGTGTCTCTTCGGCACTTGAGACGGTCCCTTGTTGCTCTTTCTCTCTGCCCCTTTCCCTGATTTATTTTTTATTTATTCTCTTAACAATCTTTCTCATAATTCTTAGAAGTTTGTTATTTTTGTTGATGTCTCTTCGTCATTTTAGACTATCCCTTGTTGTTCTTACTCTCTGTCCCTTTCCCTAAATTTTTTTTTATTTATTCTCTAAACAATCTTTCTCATAATTCTTTGAAGTTTGTGATTTTCGTTGGGTTCTCTTCGGCACTTGAGACGGTCCCTTGTTGTTCTTTCTCTCTGCCCCTTTCCCTGAATTATTTTTTATTTATTCTCTAAACAATCTTTCTCATAATTCTTTGAAGTTTGTGATTTTCGTTGGTGTCTCTTCGTCACTTTAGACTATCCCTTGTTGTTCTTTCGCTCTGCCCTTTTCCCTGATTTATTTTTCATTTATTCTCTAAACAATCTTTCTCATAATTCTTTGAAGATTGTGATTTTCGTTGGTGTCTCTTCGACACTTGACACGGTCCCTTGTTGTTCTTACTCTCTGCCACTTTTCTGATTTTTTTTTATTTATTCTCTAAACATTCTTTCTCATAATTCTTTGAAGCTTGTGATTTTCGTTGGTGTCTCTTCGGCACTTGAGACGGTCCCTTGTTGTTCTTTCTCTTTGCCCCTTTCCCTGATTTATTTTTTATTTATTCTCTAAACAATCTTTCTCATAATTCTTTAAAGTTTGTGATTTTCGTTGGTGTCTCTTCGGCACTTGAGACGGTCCCTTGTTGTTCTTTCTCTCTGCCCCTTTCCCTGATTTATTTTTTATTTATTCTCTAAACAATCTTTCTCATAATTCTTTAAAGTTTGTGATTTTTGTTGATGTCTCTTCGAAACTTTAGACTATCCCTTGTTGTTCTTACTCTCTGCCCCTTTCCCGAAATTATTTTTTATTTACTCTCTAAACAATCTTTCTCATAATTCTTAGAAGTTTGTTATTTTTGTTGATGTCTCTTCGTCACTTTAGACTATCCCTTGTTGTTCTTACTCTCTGCCCCTTTCCCTGATTTATTTTTATTTATTCTCTAAACAATCTTTCTTATAATTCTTTGAAGATTGAAATTTTGTTGATGTCTCTTCGATACTTTTGACCATCCCTTGTTGTTCTTTCTCTCTGCCCCTTTCCCTTTTTTTTTTATTTATTCTCTAAACAATCTTTCTCATAATTCTTTTAAGTTTGTGATTTTCGTTGGTGTCCCTTCGGCACTTGAGACGGTCCCTTCTTGTTCTTAATCTCTGCCCCTTTCCCTGAATTTCTTTTTATTTATTCTCTAAACAATCTTTCTCATAATTCTTCGAAGATTGAAATTTTTGTTGATGTCTCTTCGACACTTTTGACCATCCCTTGTTGTTCTTACTCTCTGTCCCTTTCCCTAAATTATTTTTTATTTATTCTCTAAACAATCTTTCTCATAATTCTTTGAAGATTGAGATTTTTGTTGATGTCTCTTTGACACTTTAGACCATCCCTTGTTGTTCTTTCTCTCTGCCCCTTTCCCTGATTTTTTTTTAAAATATTCTCTAAACAATCTTTCTCATAGTTCTTTTGAATTTGTGATTTTCGTTGGTGTCCCTTCGGCATTCGAGACGGTCCGTTGTTGTTTTTACTCTCTGCCCCATTCCCTGATTTATTTTTTATTCATTCTCTAAACAATCTTTCTCATAAATCTTTGAAGATTGTGATTTTCGTTGGT